CCCCGCGCGGACCCCTCCCCGCCTCGCGGTGCGACCTGGCAAATCCGACCGCCCGGCCCAGCGCCGGCCAATCGCAGCCCGGGGGCGACGCCCCCGCTCCGCCCCGCCCGACCCCTCAGTCCGCGCCCGCGCCCCTCCCGCTCCCCTCCCCAGCCCGCCTGGGAGGAAGATGCTCGCGGAGCGCAGGGGGAGCGCTGGCGGGGGCTGAGGGCGGGAGGCTGGCGCGGGGGGCTGGGCGCCAGTCCCAGGCAGCTCTCAGCCCCGGGCCCTCCCCGCGGCCGCACCGCGCCCGGCCGCTCTGTCCGGCGGGGCTTGGAGACCTCCACCCGCACCCGATATGCAAAGCACTATGCAAATGCAAGGGCGACCCACAGCTGTCCGGTGGCGACTTAGGGCGGCTCTGGCACTGGTCCCTGGCCCAGGCGTCCGTACCAGAGCGAGGTACGAGGTAGAGCCGGGAGAGTAGCCCCAACACTCCCCGGGGTGCGGCCTCTCCAACCAGCCTCCCCCACCTCCACCCTGTGCGGAGAGAGGGCTGCGCTGGGACCCCAAAACTCCCTCAGCTCACAGCTTGGGTGGGGAGAGGCGCCTGCTGAGATAGGGGTCAGCCTGGGATACCCAACCTGCGAGGGACAGTGGGTGGGGAGTCTAGGGGAAGGCAGAGCTGTGGTTTAAAGGAGGGGCCTAGGTGAGAGAAGGCAAGCGGGAGGGTTCTCTGGGGAGCCCTGGGTGCTGTGGAGGGGACGGTGGGTCACTCTGCAGGCATGTCGGAGGTTTTCAGACTTAAAGAGAGAGGCCAGAACACACAGGGTCTCAGGAGTGATCACTAGGGACCCGAGACAGGCCCCATGGAAGTGGGCAGCCCACTCCAAGCCCAGAGCTCAACTCTGGGGGTACCTGTTCCCCTGCCCAGCCCGGGTGGGCTGCCAGGCCCCCTTCCCTGGCCCTGCCTCCTTGGGCAGGGTCCAGGGTGTGACAAGTGCAATCACACAGGAGCCCTCGCTGGTTTGAGGTTCCACTGCCACCATCTTGAAATTCTTGATACTTTTTGAACAAAGGGCCCCAAATTTCATTTTGCACCAGTCACGAGCACACACACTTGCAGACATGGACCCAAGCGTGGCTCACAGATCCCCAAAGCGACTGCACACCCCTGGGAACATACACCAATGCCCCATGCACTGGTGGTGTGCACTGGTGGTGTGCTGACACACACACCAGGGCAGCCTACACATACGCACACATGCCCCCAGTCGCAGATGGGGACAGATGCCCACACCATTGGTGAGGACAGCACAGACTCTGGGGCCCTGTGGTGTAGGAGAGCGGGAGGCATGCAGCCCCAGTGCCCATCCCTACCCAGCCTGCAGCCTCCTCTAAACTCAGGCAGGATAGCCCCGCCTGGGAGAGGGTGGCACCACACATATGGGTGTTCCCTGCACCCTGGGCTTGAGGCTCTGGCCAAGGCCTACCCCAGTCACTATGGCAGTCCACCGGGCATGTCCACCCCATGGGACAATCCCAAAAAGGACTCGCTCCAGGTCCCCAAGAGCTGAGCAGCAGAATTCACAGGGGAGAGGAGTTGAAGGAATGGGGAACGGGGAGGGGAGGCTGAGAAGGGAGGGGTGACATGGGCACTGCTGAGAAATTGAGTGGTGTGGGAGGTGGCAGGTGGGGAGGGGCTGCAGCTGGAGCAGGACTGTCCGGACATCTGGGCGTCCCCCGCAGGAGCACCAGCACCAGCCCTGTCCTACACCCTGAGGTGCTTGTGGAGAACTGCATCTCAAGCCCCCAGGGCTATGGCCCTGAGCAGAGCTGGCCCTGATAGGGAGGGGGACAGGAAAGCCCCAGAGTCCCTGCCCAGCCCACACTGCCCACCCTCCTGGGGCTTCCCATGGCCCCTCTACCCTGTCCTCCCCAAGGGTTCTCTGGCATGTCTGAGCCCCAGGAAAGGGAACGACAGTGGCTATGCTCCAGGGGCCCAGTGGACAGCAGACAGTGGAGGGCCCCCACCCAGGGCCCTGCAGACCACTGTCTGCAGTTCTGCCCAGGGAGTAAGCAGCATCTGGTGACCCTTGAGACTCCAGTGACCCAGCGGCCTCTAGCCACCTTCCCCTTGGCCCAACTCAGCCAGCCCCACACGCCCAAGCCGAGGGGACACTCAGAATCATGGGAGTCCCTACTCACACCAGAGTGTGAGGGTGTGAGGGTGTGTGGGCCAGGAGAGCTGGGGAGGACCCAGAGCTGACCAAGAGAGCCCCCCACCAATCACAGAAGCCAAACATCACGGCATGTACCCTAACAGACACCACCACCATGATGGGGTCACAGCCAGCCACACACCACACAGCACCCATGTAGCCCAGGGGCAAACTCAGGCAGGAACAGCTGCCCGTTCACCTTTGCCCTCCTTGAAGACACTGGGACCAAAAGTGGGTGGAGATGGGGGCCTCAGAGGATGAGAGGGGGGGTCCCGGTGGCCAGGGCTGGGAGGGGAGCAGCAACAGGCAGGGCTCCCATGGGGTTCACTTCTCCACCCCTTCATCACACTGGGACTCAGGGGGCAAGGGGGCGGGGGGCCAGCCTGGGTCCCCACACTGGGCCCAGCACCCAGGGCGCCCTTGTTTCCATCTCACTCAGCCACAGCTGTCCCAGAGCTCCCTGAAAGTCCTGCCGCCCCCTCTCCCATCACCCCAGGTGAGCAGGTGAGTCTCACCTGAGATGAACCACAACTCAGCTCCAATACACAGGTTCATCAGGGCTGAGAGGGGCTTCCCCAGTGACCCTGTCCCCAAAGTCCAGCCCCTCCTCGACAGGAGTCCCCTTCCACCAGCATGCGGGGCCCCAACAAGGCGCGCTCAGGAGGCAGCATCTGGCTAGCCCTGCCTTGGGCTGTGCCAGGACCAGGAGAGTGCCCAGCGGGCAAGGCCCCTGGGCCGGGCATGGGTGAGACCAGAAGGCAGCTCTCCCGCTACCTGGCTGGACCATGACGTACCTGGGCTTGCCCCAGGAAAGAAGTCAGGTGGTGCTCAGTGCCCCTGAAGGTGGGCCAGTGGGCAGGCGAGCCGTCAGCACACCGAGGCAGGAGCTCTGCGGAAGAAAAGGAAGGATGGAGGCTGCACCTCGTCCCCACCCACCCCATCGGGGCTCCCAGTGACCAGGCAGGCCCCAGGGGGTGACAAGCAGCCCTCTGCCCAGGACCAGGTCCCTACGGGGGAGGAGGGGCAGCTGAGGGGCCCCAACCTCCCGTTGCTCGCCTGCTGAGACACCTGGCAGGGAGGCAGGCTTGCACACGCAGTGTGCATGCAGGACACACACATTCAGATGTGTGGACTCACACGGACTCAGGGCACATGGTGATGTGTCCCCCAAGGTCCCGGACCCAACACGAGGCTGTGCTGTCCACTTCCCCCAGGTACCCCGCTCCAAGCCTCACGCTCTCCCCAAGAGCCAGTGGTGATGACTCACACAGCCATATCTGCCACTGGAGCTCACAGGTCCTCCCCCACCAGCCACAGTCTACGGGGACAGGGCATCCCAGTCACGCTCTCTACACCTCACCCCTCACACCAGGGGCTCACTGCAGCCTGGGGGCTGGGGCAGGTGGTCTTCCCAGCAGCCCCAGGGCAGGAGGGACTGCAAAGGTTCGAAATGCCACCCTGGCAGGTGCTTGCCCCCTCCTGCCCATCCCCACGGGCTGCCTACTGCCTGCCTGTCCACTCATGCCTGGGGTGGACCACTGTGTGGGTCAGTCCCAGCTCTTCCCTGCAAGCAACCTGAAGCCCACCCCCCAACTTCAGTTAGGGGGTGTGAACAGCACCCACCCCAGTGGGGAGAGAATGTGCCTGAGCCTCCAACAGGAGGAGGACATGGCCAACACCAGGAGGAGACCGCTGATAGGCCATGCTCCCAGTCCCCACCCAAGGCCACCCCGGACCCTCTGCGAATGGCCTCCAGGCCCCACACCCTTCTTGGGCAGCCCAGACACAACCCTGCAGTCCGGCCATGGGTGCAAGGGCAGGACAAGACCAGGGCTGGCTCCTCCTCCAGGAAGCCTCCATGCCCCACTTCCGGCTCTGGCCCTCCTTTGAGGGCAGAGACTGACAGGGCTGTGTCCCCCAGAACAGCACACACAGCAGGCAACAGGGACAGGGCTGAGTGACAGCCCCAAGACAAACACCGCAGTCAGCCAACCCCTGGGCTGGGCCCCAAGGTGGGGGCAGCTGAAGACCTCGGGACTGTGTGAGCCACAGGCCATGAGCACCTACCTGGACAGACCAAGGCCCACTCCAGAAGGGACCTGCCCAACGCCGGAACAGAGTGTGCCCACGTTGGACTTAGAGGCTGGGGCGGACAGACGGGCGGATGCCAGTGGCCCACCGTAGCCCCAGTAATGGAGCAGCAGCAGGGGTCTGGCCTGAGCACACACCCCGGCAGGGGCAGCTCAGGGTGGAGCCACCGCCCGGTTCCCAGGCTGAGCTGGCTCTGAGGCAGCTTTGAGGAGCCTGGCAGGGCCTGGCCAACACAAACAGGTCTGTGGTGTGGGCCTTCCTGCCACTGCTTCAGCCCCCGCCGGGCCCCAGCGCCCACCAAGGCCCTAGCCTGGGGGAGGGGCACACAGACACCCAGGCTGGGCAGGCAGCACCCCTCCACACTCAGAGCCCCGGTGGGGTCATCTCCCCAGCCCAAACTGGAGCCTCAGGCTGGAAGACACCCACTCCAGGAGAGGGGTCCCCATGGAAGAGACCACTAAGGGCCCCTTCTCTCCTCCTGGGCCCACCTAGGCCAACCCAAGCTCATGGCCTTCCCCATCCCCAATGCTCCTCCCACTAGGTAAAGGCCACAGGGACACAATTAGGATGAGGGTGGCACCTTCCCACCCACCACAGGCCCTGGGGGCACCCTGCCTCGTGTGCCCAGTGTGTGCCTGCCCCACCTTGGCAGATGTCCCCACCCTGTGCCACCTGGACCCCTACAGAGCAGTAACCTCCCTCAAAGAGCCCACATTAGGCCCAGGTGTGTCCAGAGGCTCATTAGGTTAGGGCCAGTTCAGGCTTAAGCACACCTGCAAATGCCACCGCTCACGACCTCCCAGCCCCCAGGGCCGAGAGGGTTAGGTGGGTGACCCGTCTGACCTTGGGGAGGCATCCGAGCATGTATGTTCATGGACCCCATCCCACCCTGCACACCCCGTGTGAGCACATATGTACCCAAAGCAAGCAGCCAGGGGCCAAGCCCAGGACCCCATGTCTGCACAGCCAGATCCGGACCCTCCAGCTGGGCAGCGTTTTGTACCATCCACACTTTACAGGTGAGGAAACTGAGGCTGTGATCCAGGACCAGGGGGTGCGGCCTGTGGCCAGCCTGTTTCCAGGACAACACTCAGGGCCAGGATCTCAGCAGCTAAAACTTCAATCACTAATTTCCCCTTGTCCCTGGCCTGCCCTCAAGTGACCCTTTCTGGCAGGAAACATGGCTCACGGGTTCCAAACCACATGTGAGCACAGCCCTCCCTCCTCGTGGTTCCCATCACCGGGGCAGGAGACCCTTCCGGGAAAACCTGTGCCTCACTCTCCAGCCCTCCCCAGAGGCCTGGACCACACAGGGGAGAGGCAAGGGCCCCCACCTACCCTAGCAGGCACGCAGAGCCCCACCCCCACCAGTGCTCTGGGCCCCCATGGCTCCCTCCTGGCCCTGGCCACCCTGAGGAGGGCCAGGCCCTCACCTCAACTTGCAACCCCAACACACACACAGACACGAATGCAGGGACACAGCCAGTCAGAGCCATGGTCGGGGTGGGCAGAGCTGACCTTTGAGGTACCTCCGGGGTCCTCAACCTGAGCAGGGCTGAGCCAGGCCGAGTTGAGCCGGGGTACCAAGTGCCCCAAGGGGCCTCTGCCTGCGCACACGTGTGTTGGGGCAATGCACACGGGCTGGGATGGGGCAGCCACTCTGCTCCCCATGGCCTCTCCTGGGAAATCAGGGAGCTGGAGCTCAGAGCTCGGGAAGAGGAGCCAGCTGCCCCCAAATCTACACACAGCTCTCAGAATTCCAGGAATGTCAACTTGGCTCTGGGCAGGATCAGGGCGGGAGGCTGCTGCTCCCCTCACTCTTTCAGAGTAAACAACTGCTCAGGCCAGGAGCTCCGTGGGACAGGCCCTGGGCCCCTCCTCCAGGAAGCATTCTGCCCCCACCCACTCCCGAAGGGCCACCCAGCTGACTTCCCAGATGCCCTCCAGGTCTCCCTCACCTCCACAGCCGCGGGCAGCCTCTGCAGCTGAGCGTGGGTCTGACCCTAGGCCACTGTGACTCAAGGCCCCCTGTCCTGCCCCTCATGGCCAGGGACAGGATGTGCGTCCAGTCAGTGGGGGGGCGGGGGGTGTCAGGGAAGGGAAGTGGCTTTGGCTCGTGGCTCTGCATGTGGCAGGGTGGGGGATGGCAAACAGCATTGGGGAGGCTGTCCAGGGCCCCAGAGAAGGTGGTGGCACAAACTCCAGGCGGGCACCAGTGCTGCCAGCTCCACCCAGGACTCAGGGGACCCTCCATCTCCCTGACCCCCAACTTTACCAAGTTGCGGCTTTACCAAGGCTTAAAAGGGCAGTTAGCTGACACCCGGGACCCATCCAGAGATCCAGCGAACCTGCCCAGAGCCTGCACACACCTTAAGTCACAGGTGCCACTTTGCAACACATCCATCCACCCAGTACAGCCCAAAGCGCCCCCCCCCCCAGAGGAGGCCTTCGGGGCCTCTGACTGCACACTGCCCGCCCCAGCCCCCATCTTGGGGCTCAGCCCACCCCATTTCCCGACACACAGCCTCCCCTCCCTTTCAATCTTCCATGACTCCTGCCCCGCCACCTACTCCCACCCTGGCGCACACCTGTCTCTGGGGCTGCCCTGCAGGTACCGACTCCAGGCCTCTGCCCAAGGGTTCCCTTTGCCAGGACCCGTCCTGCGCCTTCACACACACTCAGGCTGGCGCCTGGTGAATGGACTCGTCAAGGTTCAGCTCAACAGGCGCCTCTTCCACGACGCTCCCCCTGACCACCCTCCGGTCCTCAGATCGCGGGGACCAAGCAGAGCTTGGCCCGGGGCGGGTGCGGACCCTTCCCTCGCCCCAGCCCCTTCCCCGGGAAGAAAGGGGGAGGAGGGACGCGGGCCAACGCAGACCGAGGCGGCGCTGGCGGGGAGAAGCCGCTCTCTGGGCTCGCCCGGGGGCCGATCGCTCCCCGCGCGCCCTCCCACCGTCGGGACCACAGGTAACTACCTGGCCGGGGCCGATATCGTACGGGCGAGCGGGCCGGGAGACGCCCCGAAAGCAGTCCCGAACTCTGCCGCAGAGACACCTGGGCATCCGCGGGCAAGGGCTCCGGGCGAGAGACCCCTTTCCCGGCCCGGCCAGGACAGGCGGCGGGAAGACCCGCCCGTGGCTGCCGGCCAGCCCCTCTCCGCCCCCGCGGCGGGGTCGCCGCGCCCCGGCCCCGCCACTTGTTGCTGCGGCTCGGCTTGGGGCTGCGCGCTCGGGGCTGGAACTCCGCGCCGGCTCGCTCCGGCCCAGGCCGATGTCTGGCCCGGGCTCTGGAGCCGCGGACGGCGGGACCCCGGCCACATACCCGCCAGCGGACGCGATACCTGCGCGCGCAGTCCACCCTCCGCGCAGCTGTCAGTCATGCGGACACGAGAAACGCGAACCGCGCGGCCGAGCCCTTACGGCCCCGCTCGGACGCCGTAGGCCGGGACGTACCAAAGCGGCTCACAGGGGACGCCGCCTGCTCCTGCCGCGGCCACGCGGGTCCCGAGACCCCCGATACGCGCGAAGGAAGATCGTCGCGACAGAAAGAGGATGTCGACGGCGCGGGGGCTGGCGGGGTGGGCTGGGGGCGGCTGGGAACGGGTCCGGCCTCCCCCGCGCCATGGACGCGCCCGGGGCGGGGTCAGCACTCGTGCAGAAGCCCCGCCGGAACCGAGGAGTGCTGCCGCTGTCCCGCTGCCGTCGTCCCGCTGCCGCCATGATCATCCCCGTTCGCTGCTTTACCTGCGGCAAGATCGTCGGCAACAAGTGGGAGGCCTACCTGGGGCTGCTGCAGGCCGAGTACACCGAGGGGTACGGCGCCCGGTCCGGCGGGGAGGAGGGGGGGCTCCAGCGCGGTCGGGAAGCGTCCCTGGGCCGCCCTGCGAGACAGGGGCAAACGCCGGCGGGGAGGGGGTCTCGGCCTGCCGGGCGGGGCGGGCGGCGCCACTCGCATCCGGTTTCAGGTGACCCTGGAGGGGCTTTCTGTCCCAGGGTCTCCGTCAGCCCTGCTCTCAGGAGAACCTTGCCCCCCGCAGTGTGAGGAGAGGAGAGGAGTTGGCATGAGGCCACTGGCCCTGGGGGCTTCCGGGTGTCCTTCTGGCCGGCCACGGTGCCTCTCCACTGCAGTTACGCCCTGAGCCTCCTCCCTGCCCGCCCACCTGCTATTAGGCCCACCCTCATGTCCTGCAAGCCCTCTTGTCTTTTAGGCTTAGGAGAGCTTTCCGACCACATGGTTGTCATTTTGAGGCTGTTGCAAGTCCCTTTTCTGTGCTTGCCCCTTAGCACTGCAGTTACCACAATGGCTGCCTGAGTCTGTTCCCCGTTAGAGTCTCACCCTTGGCCACTGTGTGGACAGCTCATGTCCTGATCGCACTTGAACCCCTGGGACCTGGGGTGTGCCAACGTGCCGTAGACTCTCAGGGCAGGCGTGGGGGGTGATGGGCTGTTTGCACCAGACCCTGAGGAGGCTGCCAGAATGACCAGTGAGTGAGCGGCTGGTAGCCTGCACAGGACCCTCCCTGCAGCACCACGGGCAGGGACCTCCCAGCCTGGCCTCCCCTTTCCCAAGCTGCCGTCTCTGCACACCGGGGCCAACGGTGTGAGAATTTTCTGGAGGCCTCAAGGGTGACTGAGCTTGGTCCCAGGGAATTGGGAACTCTAGTTTGCATGGAAATGGGAGAAGTGGATCCCAGGAGAGACGCCTGCCTTCCTGATGTGGAAGCAGAGCAGAGGAAAGACCCCACAGCAGCTGACTGAGGCCTCCATCTGCCTGGGCTGTTGGAGACAGACAGATCACAGCCTGTCTCCTGCCTGCAGGGACGCCCTGGATGCGCTGGGCCTGAAGCGCTACTGCTGCCGCCGCATGCTGCTAGCCCACGTGGACCTGATTGAGAAGCTGCTCAACTATGCGCCCCTGGAGAAGTGAGCGAGCACTGGCCGTCTGTCCTGCCGAGAGCCCCTCCCACTGAGGAGTGGGTAGCCCTGGAGCAGTGCCTGCCCACAGCTGTGTGGGCATTGGTCTCCTGCTCTGGAAGGAACCGTCCAGTAAAGGTCTTTGCAGAACCACAGGAAGGTCCTGGCAGTTGGTCTGGCTTTGTGGGACTCCTTGCTACCATGTTTCTGTGTCCTGCCTCATGCCTGAGGCCACTTACTGCCCCGAAAAAGGGACAGCCATCCCCACGGCAACTGCTCAGCCTGCGGTGTCTCCCTCGAGGGTGTGCACTCAGGCCACCAAGAACACTGGGGGCTCTGGCCTCTCCCCCCATGTTCTGTGTACTCTACATCAGCACACGTCCTCTCTTCCCAGGATCTAAAGAACCAGGTTTTCTGGGCCCTGAATAGAATTTCTGCTGGGGTCATGGCTGCCCATCCTGCGGGTCCTGCTGCCAGAAGCTTCCAGGCTCCACCCAAGCCCAGTAGGCCCCTGCCCTTGGCCATGTTCCTGCAGAGGGGAGGGGCAGCGCTCAGGCTCCCCAGCCAGCCCCAAGACCCTACAGTGGCTCTGCTGGTTGTCAGGGCTGGCCAAGCTCCCAGTGCCGTGGGCCAGCCAGGAGACCTGGCTCCAGGGGCCTGACCTGTTTCAACTGTGGCTAAAGCTTGGAGCCAGAGGCTGTCACCCTGGGCAGGGGTCAGGAGGGTCCTAGTGCCCTCCAGCTGGTAGAAGGCAGGAGTTAGGAGAGGGGACATTCTCCTGGCAGCCTCAGGGCTGGCCCACTGCCCAGGTGTCTGAAACGGGATCCTCTGAATGCAGATGAGGAAGCTGGTTGTCTCCCAGGGGTAGACAGCCCAAGACTTGGGGACAGTAGCTGGACAATCCCTAGGGCAGAGAGCTACAGTGGCCTAGCCCTGGCCCCCATTGCCAGCACACATCCTGCCCAACCCCAGGCCTCACCACCCTCTTCCTGTCCATAGATGTGCAAGGCTCTATTTTGGGCCCTGTGCTCAGCTACCATTGGCCTCCCCCTCGAGTCCTGTCAGCTCTCAGCTGATACCTGGCTGCCCAGGACCCCCAGGATGTGCCCTGCTCTGTCATGGCAGTGGGTGGGTCTGCCCACCCTTCTGAATGTGAGGGCCCTGAGGACCAGAATTGTCCCTATCACTAACATAATAAGTTCACCCAGCTGTTCCACAAATGTTTATTGAGCACCTATTATGTGGCAGGAGCAATTCTAGGCATTTGTAATACAGCAGTAAAACTCGCAAAACCCCTGCCCTGAGGAAGGGGACATAACAGTGAACATTGGCCTTTTAGATGGTGGTGAGAGCAGTTGGACAACAGGGCAGGGCCTTGGTGGAGCAGGGTGGCCAGAAGCAGGGGCATCAGCAGAGGCTTAGGACCCTGGGGACTGGGCTCCTTTGTGTAGCTTTCCCTAGGGGGATGGGTGGCTGGCACCTGGAGTGCCTCACCTGCAGCTGCCAGGCCTCCCCTGGAATCTACCCCATCCAGCAATGCCCCTCCCAGGCCTGTCCTGACCACCGAATCGGGGCTGGAAGCACCCTAGGGTGGTCCAGCCCACTTTTGCCCAACTCACTCCCAAACCAGCCCAACTGAGCACAGGTGTCAGGGAGCACACTGAGGCCCCATGACCCCTCCCCTCCAGAGAAGATGGCCTGTGGGAGGGAGGCACTTTATTGTCAGAACCTAATCCCCCACGCCACCAGCCCCACTGTAGGAGGGACCCCTGCCTGGGGCCTCAGCACTTTGGTGTGCAGCAAAAGGCACTTGAAGCTTCTTCGGGGGCTGCAGGTCCCCAGAGGGCACGGTGATGGCACGGTGGTAGGGGGCACAGGCATGAGAACACAACCTCCATGGCAAAGCGGGGAGGGAAGGGAGAGGTGTCCTGGGACCCCAGCTCCCTGGCGGTCAGTAGTATCAGTTCAGTAGACACTCCGTGAGAAGCTATAGCACGCAGACAAAGGCCAGCCGTGGGCGGGGTCAGTAGTACAGCTGCGTGCACGCGCAGAAAGGCCAGCCGTGGGCGGGGTCAGTAGTACTGCTGCGTGCACTCGCAAAAAGGCCAGCCGTGGGGTGGGGGTCAGTAGTGCTCCAGCTTCAGGCTCTTGTACAGACAGCACGTGAAGATCATGCCGAACACCTACAGGACAGAGCTGGCATGAGCGGGCCACCACCAACAGCCACTTTGTGTCCCCTGCACCCACCAAGGGCCCACCCTGCCCAAGGCACCCACCTGCACGCAGGCGATGCCGATACCCACGGCCCCGATGACCCTCAGATGCTCCTGGATGAAGGTCTCCAGCTTGGTGATGCAGCCGCCCTGGCAGGGTGGAGGTGAGGGTGCTGAAGGCAGGCAAATCCTCCAGCCCCCACTGCTGCAGCCCCAGGTCTCCTCCAGGACAGGCCACCCCAGCCCCTTGCATCCCACAGGGGGCACCCAGGCCCCGCTCTCCTACCTCCACCTTGTAGATATTGGAGGCGTGGTCCCGCTGCCCGCAGTGGGCCACCACGGTCTTGCAGCAGCTGTCCGGGACCACGCGGCCGCCCGCCTCCCCAGAGCGGATCCACTCGCTGTCCAGCCAGTCCTGGGAGTTGTTGCTGCCACAGCAGTGGAACTGCAGGAGAACGGCTGGGCTGAGCTCCCACCCCATCCACCCCTGCTGTGGGACTCCCAGGAAGGCCGGAGGGGGTGCGCATGCCCCTCCCTAAGTCACCCACCAACCTCCTGCTGCAGCTTGTCCACGGCGCTGGTCACACCCTCATGTCCCGACTGGTGGTACCGCTTGGTCATGGTGTCCTTCAGGTTCTCCTTGAGCTCTGTGTTCAGCTGGAGATGAGGTGGTGACACTTTCAGCCACAAAGTCTAAGACCTTCTGAGGTGTGGCAGAATGGGGGCAACACACTGGGAGACCCCAGCACGGCGGGAGAGGTGTGGGGAGGGCTCCAGGGGGAGCGAAGAGCTAGGGTGCGATGCCGGCTGGGGTGGGGGTGCGGGTCAGGTGGGCTGGGAGAGTCAGCCAGGTGCCCATGGGGAAGGGCAGGGGCAGGGCGGAAGCTCCAAATCCGATGAACTTCCCTGCTTCCCTGAGCCCCCAGTGGGCGGTTTGGGTGTTGCAGGCCAGTTGTTGACCCTGCAGTCCACCCTATCCCTGTGACTCAGCCCACACCTGCAGGGCGTGATGGGACAACAGTCAGCTGGTGGGGGTCATGTCTGTGTGTGTGTGTCCATGCGGCCTCCAGGCCCCTCACCTGCTGGTAGTAGACGTAGGCAAGGATGCCAGCAATGATCTCCAGCAGAAAGATGATGAGGAGCAGGATGAAGTACTGGGTGGAGGGGGGGGGACGGGACACAGGGAGGCAGGTGAGGCGCAGACATCCCCATTCTGTAGGGACACCTAGTGTCCAGGCACAGCAGAGCAGAGTCCCCACCCTCAGCTCCCAAGTGGCCACAGAGTGAGGGCTCCTCCAGAGAGCAGGTGGGGGCTGGGGGACCACCACGCTCCCTGGTGCTTTGTCTTAGAGCAGCTGTCTTCCCTCGGCTGGCCCAGCTGGGATGTGGGGACTCCCAGGAGGCTGGGCAGGTGGGAAGGGACACCCTCCCAGGTGAACACAGCAGAAGCTATCTTGCAGTGTCAACCCCCATCAGTCCCTCTTCCCTGGTCAGGGTCCCAGAGCCAGCCCAGGCAGCCTAGTGGGGAGCCCCTGCGCAGTGACCCTCCCCTCCCCACCCTCCCCGACTGCCAGCCATGCCCTGCTGACCAGGCGCAGCAGATTCCGACGCTCCTTGAAGGTGGCACAGCAGCCCAGGACACCTGTCACCATGACAACAACGCCAGCCACCACCAGGATGTAGGCTGTGGCCAGGTAGGTGCCCGAGGCCAGCAGACTGATGTAGTCGCTCTTCAGAACCAGTGTCCAGATGCCCACTGCCATGACAGCCAGGCCAGCCAGCTGTGGGCAGTGCACACAGGTCAGTCAGCACATCTGAGTACCCTGGCCAGGGCTCCTTTCAAGGACCAGGGATGGAAAGGAGGATGTGACAGGCAGAGAAGACAGGTCGGGGGTGGCACGTGCCCACTCCTCACCCAGAAGCAAAAGTTGAAAGTGAAAAGCAGGTACTTGAGGCAGACGGTGCCGCATGTTGACTTCTTCTCATTGAACTCGCCCATCCTGGGGGGCAGGGGGAGGGCAGACAGCCCACACCACCAGGACCTGAATTGGGAGGAGAGCCGGATACCGATGAGGACAGAAGAAGGCAACACACATGCCCAAGCCAACTGCTGGCGCTGGATGAAGGCCCTGGGAGTGTCCATGGGAACCAGGACACCCGGGAGGACAGCTCAGGAGCCCCCACCCCTCGGCAGCCGGGGTGGACGCCCTGGTATCCACAGCCCTAGAAGGCCGGAGGGCCTGGTTTTCCTGACCAGATCCCAGGGCACAGGGGATACGGAGGACCCCCAACCATCACCAGCTGACTCACCCCCACTGGCCACCAGGGTAGGAAGCCCCAGGAGGCACTTCGGGGTGAGCTCATACAGGCCCCGCCTGCCTGCCCCCCCCCCCAGCATTCCCTAGGCCCCACGTCACAGGCTGGCAGGACTCTACCAGCTGCTGGAAGGGAGGAGGCCCCTAGGAGACAGACTGCCTGCCCCTTCCTAGCCGTGTGGCGTAAGGGAAGCCCTCAGGCTTCTGTTAAAGGGCAGGCGGGGGCCTGCATGACTGAGACTGGGGAGAATGGAGGGCACCAGGCAGGCAGGGCAGCAGACACACTCCCCAGACCTGGGGTTTCCTCTTCCTCTGGCCCTCATTACTGGAAAGGGGACAAACAGCCACACTAACTCCAAAAATAAGTGCAACTGTAAGTGTGCTCCTCCTCAGAGGCGCCTTGGACGGCTAGCCTGCTCCATGTGGGGTGACTGCACTGGGGAGGGTGGGGCAGGGCTGTGGGGCCCCGACAGCAGCTGTGCGCCTCAAGCCACGATTCCAGACAGCCACGCCCACAGCTGGACTTACACGCACAGCACTTACCTGGCTGGTAGGGACGGCTCCTCCTCCGTAAGACAGGTGGACGGAAGTTCCCCAGGAGGGTCCGCTAGAAGGGCAGGGACAGGTCACAAGTCTGGCCCACAGGAGACGGTCGGCATCCTGCCACCCTTCCCTGCGGCTGCCCTAGGCAGTGGGCCGAAGCTGGGCTTCCAGGGCAGGCAACCTCGCAGCGGCTGAGAGAAGCGCCAGGCCTGGTATTTTGGTCTGGGCCAGGGAGGGGCAGGGCAGAGGACATTTCCGGACAGTCCGATCCTGGGAGGAACAGCACGCCTTCTCCAAACACCCCACCCTGGGCCTTACCGCCAGACCTGTTATTGCCCCTGCAGCCTGGGGAGAAAAAAGGGCGCAGACCCCTATCACGCAGCTGAGGGGTGTGGAAGCCTCATGTCCCGCAGGCGTGTCCCTGGGCCTCCTCTGAGGTCCCAGGCCTTCTGGGGAGGCCGGTTCCGGGACACAGATCCAGCCCCACCGCCCGCGCACGGCCCACCCGCTGAGGAGGGGCCCCTCTTTCCGGGAGTGCCTGGCGGATGTGAACCCCCAGGGAAAGCGCAGGACAGAAATAGTTCCTGCGGCCGGGGACAGAGCTGCCCCACCCCCAGGCCCCTGCAACGCAACCCAGCCTTCGGCGGCCCGCGCCCCAAGGCGGGTACCCGGGACTCCCTTCCAGCCAGGCCCTGCGAGGAATCCCACGTCACCGCCATGAAGTCACCGCCGCCGCCGCCCCCGCCCACTCGCACCGGGTGGTGGGCGGGCCTGACGGCGGAGGGAAAGGGACCGGCGTCCAGGCACAGCGAGTGCGATGCTTAGGGGGGCCCTCGGCCCGAGGGGCCTTCAGACTTGTCGGAAGACCCGCGAG